TTGATTGTTGCGCACGAAAGTTATTGAGGTTTTAATTTTGGGCATAAGAAACAATGCTTAAACATTACGCTGTTTACTATATTGACCAAAAACCATATTATAATAATCGCCAATTTTCGCGAAATATAAGAAAAATAATAAAAATATAGCAGATTACGTCATTATTTTCATTATATTAATGGCATACATACACCTAAAAATGTATTTAAAAATATCTGCATAATCTAAACACCACGATAAATCAGATGATAACAAAATAACACAACTGGGTACATCTCTCTTTCGGCTTAAGATTTTAAAGTTCTGTCTTCGCAGCAGTTCAAAATCCGAATCAGGTCATTTATTGAAACGAAAATGATCCACAGAATACTATTAAATCCGACATATTTTCAATAACATTTTTTTTTGCCAAATTTCGTGTTTTGGAAGGCCAATTCCCGCCGTTCTAGTAGATAGATTTTCACGAAGAAGATTTTATTTCATCCAAAATTTAAAAAAACTTACTGATCGTGGGTACCCATATCATTCAATTGACAGATCTAAAAATTTGGGCTGAAAAATAGGTTTTTTTTTAGAAATTTGATCGCACAAAATGTTCACGTTTGGATATTAAATGTAGAAGTAAAGTTCAAAATCGAGATACAAAATGTCAGCATCATTTAAAGGTAGATGCAGTTAAAATTTTGAAAAATTATACTTAAGAGATGTGGTCCTCATTTTGTAGGCTTCTAGTTATACCCTTCACCACACTGTGGTACAGGGTATTATGTCTTTGTGCATATGTTTGTAACAGGCAGAAGGAAACGAGATAGATCATTTTGAGAATATGGATAGAATGACTTTCTAAGTCGATTTATGCATGTCCTTCCGTATGTCTGTCCATGTTAAATTGTAAACAAAGTATGTCACTTATTTGGCCCAAGGACGAACCCTATTGAAATTGGGAAAACTCGGTTCAGATTTAGATATAGCTCCCATATATTTGCGTCCGATTTAAGGTAAAAGTGTGTACCAAAATCCCTATATATCTTTCGATTTACACGAAATTTGGCATAGCGTACTGATTAAAGTCTAGAAGTCTAGAATTATGAGTGTTAGGTTTCGTGGAAATCGGTCTTCCCTGCCTTGTTGTTTTTTATTAAAACAACAAACTGGGATTAAGCCTGACTATTTTGCAAAAACAAAATACAAATGGTATCCCAAATAAACCGCCAACACTACTGAAGTTGTAGACGCAGGCACGGTTAAACTGTTTGGTTTGTTGCTGTATACTAGCAACACCAACAAAGTCGTTGTGTGCATTTGTCGCGATGTGACAACACACAACAGTGGGAAAGGTATAGAATTGTTTGTAAATGCCTTGTTAACCTCGAAGTGAGGCTCCAGCGAAATTCTCATACAGTTTATGTCGTTGGTCAGCTAAGTACTTCGCTTTGTTACAAGAGACATTTGGGTATGAACGGTTTGTTGTATAGAAGCAATAGCTTCTGGGGAGAATATCCCAACAAAAAACCAGTAAGGAAAGTAGTAAAGTCGGACGGGGCCGACTATATGATACCCTTCACCACTATGGGTATATTAAACAGGACTATTAACATAAAATTGGATAAAATAAAATATGTGATATTTATCTAAATGTGAATCTACCTAGATCTATCCATAAACATGTCATTCGTTTGTTACAATGGGACAAAAGTATGTAAATCGACTTCAAACAAATATAAATAGGTCATCCGTTGGGCTATATATGTACTTCTAGAAAACGCAACTACGCAATTCTATGCTCAATTTTGTAAGTTGTGCAAAATTTGATGTCAATCTGACTAACATGAGCAGTTTGATGCCCAATTTACTTGAAATCAAGCGAAAATATATATGTAAGCTTTATCAAAATATTAAGCGATTTCAAACAAACTTGTCACAAGTTAGGTTATACTAATTTCAGAACGTTTTGTTCCTATTGGTTCCTTGGTGCGTCATTTACTTAAAATCAATCTATAATAAAAGGAGCTATATCTAAATCTAGGCCGATTTTCACGAAACAAGGCAGACATCACTCTAGGCTCAATTCAGTACGTTATGCCAAATTTCGTGCAAATCGAAGGATATATAGGGACGTTGGTGCACCATTTACATGAAATCGGACGAAACTATATATGGGAGCTTTATCTAAATCAGGACCGATTTTCTCAAAACTTGGTAGACATCACTGTAGGCTCAATTCAGTACGTCATGCCAAATTTCCTGCAAATGGAAGGATATATAGGGACTTTGGTGCACCATTTACATGAAATCGGACGAAACTATATATGGGAGTTATATCTAAATCAGAACCGATTTTCACCAAACAAGACAGATATCACTCTAGTCCCAATTCAGTACGTTATGCCAAATTTCCTGCAAATCGATGGATATATAGGGACTTTGGTGCACCATTTACATGAAATCGGACGAAACTATATATGGGTGTTATATCTAAATCAGAACCGATTTTCACCAAACAAGACAGACATCACTCTAGGCCCAATTCAGTACGTTGTGCCAAATTTAGTGCGAATCGAAGGATATATAGGGACTTTGGTGCACCATTTACATAAAATCGGACGAAACTATATATGGGAGCTACATCTAAATCTGGACCGATTTTCTCGAAACTTGGCAGAAATCACTATAGACTCAATTCAGTACGTTACGCCAAATTTCGTGCAAATCGAAAGATATATAGGGACTTTGGTGCACCATTTACATGAAATCGGACGAAAGTATATATGGGAGCTATATCTAAATCTGGACCGATTTTCACGAAACTTGGCAGACATCATTCTAGGCTCATGTCAGTACGTTATGCCGAATTTCGTGCAAATCGAAAGATATATAGGGATTTTGGTGCACCATTTACATAAAATCGAACGAAACTATATATGGGAGCTATATCTAAATCTGGACCGATATTCTCGAAACTTGGCAGACATCACTCTAGGCCTAATTCAATACGTTATGCCAAATTTCGTGCAGATCGAAAGATATATAGGGACTTTGGGGCACCATTTACATGAAATCGGACGAAAGTATATATGGGAGCTATATCTAAATCTGGACCGATTTTCTCGAAACTTGGCAGACATCACTCTAGGCTCAATTCAGACCGTTATGCTAAATTTCGTGCAAATCGAAGGATCTATAGGGACTTTGGTGCACCATTTACATGAAATCGGGCGAAACTATATATGGGAGCTATATCTAAATCTGGACCGATATTCTCGAAACTTGGCAGACATCACTCTAGGCTGAATTCAATACGTTATGCCAAATTTCGTGCAAATCGAAAGATATATAGGGACTTTGGGGCACCATTTACATGAAATCGGACGAAACTATATATGGGAGCTATATCTAAATCTTGACCGATTTTCGCGAAACTTGGCAGACATCATTCTAGACCTAAATGATTAGGCTGTACCAAATTTCGTGCAAATCGAAAGATATATAGGGACCGTTTACATTAAATCGGTTAAATATATATATGGGAGCTATATCTAAATCTGAACCGATTTTTCCCAATTTCAATAGGGTTTGTCCTTGGGCCAAACAAATGAGCTGTGCCAAATTTCATCCAATTCGGATCATAAATGCGACCTGTACTTTGCTCACAAAAATACATGGACAGACAGACGGACGGACATCATAAATCGACTTAGAAAGTGATTCTATGCATATTCTCAAAAGGAACCATGTGTCTATCTCGTTTCCTTTTGCCTGTTACAAACATATGCACAAAGACATAATACCCTGTACCACAGTGTGGTGAAGGGTATAACTAAGGGAACTGATGATGATCAGTGGCGTGATCCGAAACTATAGTCTTCCCTGCCTTACACCTCGGCAAACAATGCCATACATTCCCCACTAATAAATAGTTGTTTTTTATAAAAACAACAAACTGGGATTCTGCCTGAATATTTTGCAAAAACATTATACATTTTCTTTCGATTTTTCTTAAATGGTACATTAAACTGTTAATGTTTGTCCGATTGACACGAACTTTTGCACAATATATATTTTCGACCGACTTCATGTTAATTGTACACCAAATAATCAACGGGTGTCTGATTAAGATTAAATTTCGAACAGTGCAGCATACCACATAGCGTGTGTCAAGTTTAAGCTAGTCATTTAAGTTCTTTCTATTTTGTGTCAATGTTTCTTCGAAAAGGAAACGTCTGTTATGATACATATGACGAATATTCCCAAAATGGATGAAGGGTATTATATAGTCGGCCCCGTCCGACTTTATTACTTCCATTATACAAGAAATTTCGGAAAAAAGTGTTGGGGTTATTCTTTTATTTATCCATATTTATTTCTTGTGTATAAGTATATACCTTATTATGGACCCAATCGTGAATCCAATACATTTATTCCATTTACAATAACATATTTATAGCTTACTGAATTTAACAACCTAGCGGAAATAATGGTTAAGTTCTTTAATGAAAAGTTGTCCAGGGTGATTCGGCCAAGTGGTCAGCTAAAAATCTACAGTAAGCGGAAATATTGGCACAAATGGCAAGATCCGCAAAACGCCCAGGAGTTGCGTACGGGTACATCTTTCAGAGATACTATTGTATGGGAGGTAAATTAAAATTATGTAAGTATATGTTTTTAGCAAAGACTTGTTTCTATACCAATGCCCAAAGTGCCAATATACAGCAAATTCTGATAAAATTTCGATATTTTCTTCAATATTATTTTCTCCCTCGATAAGTATGAAAATATTTGTATTTCACATTTTAATTTCTATTTATTTAAATTTTGAATTAGTTGTTTTTTATAGCTTTGTTACACATGCACATTTTATATATTTCACAAAGAGAATAAGTAAATTCAAAACGCCATCGATAAGTTTAGCCTCAGTTTAGTGGTGTTTTACTTTAACAAAACTGGTTGCATGGCCATGATGATCACCGGAATAATGATCATATTTATAATCTTCGTGATGATCATCGTGATAATATATAGTGATGATCATCATGTTCCACATGATTGGCATATTTTATAATATGTTCCTTTTCTTCGTGATGGGAGGGGATAGAATGATGATGATCGCGTTCAACATGGTGGGTGGCATGATGGTCATCGCGATCGTGGGCATTGTGATGATCATCATGTTGCACATGATTGGCGTATTTCACGATATGTTCCTTTTCATCATGATGGGTGGGAACAGAATGATGATAATCGTGTTCAACATGATGGGTGGCATGCTCTTCGTGATGCTCATGATCATGCTTTTCGTGGTGCTTGTGATGAGTTTGAGGATGTTCAGCATGACCAATTGTTTTGACATCAGCATGGAAGCCACTATGATCATCGGCATGATAGTTGACGACACGAGTGGTGCCATCAGCTTCCTTCAACAAGTAACCACCTATTAAGATAAACATATTAAAATTATCCGAAATTCTACGTACTTGAGTGTTTTTATATGTATTTACCATGCACTTTATCACCATCCCGATGTTCCCATTGCTCTTTGATATCCTCCGTTTTCAAGTTCTTTACACCATATTTGAATTCATATTTCGGATGAGAATAATGCTCATGATGTTAATCATGATGATCATGTGCCATGCTCACAACACTGAGAACAACAAAAATAGCAATGGTTAGGTATTTCATGTTAGATATTTCGAATGCAACTGTTGCTTAGTCAAAGTCAAGTCAAAGAACTGATATTGTCATTGTGCATTTCTAGTATTTATACCATATGAAATTAAATCAATTAATTTGACAAAAAAAAAGAAAAACAAATCTACAAAACTACTCATAGTGAACATGGGATTATGTTATCCATTGATACCATTAATTTCACATTCGTCTAAAAACTAAAAATGCTTTATTGCAGTAAGATAGGATCTATTTTGTTACCATAAAATCAAACAGATTTTCAATTCAGTATTAGCAAGTAAAAAAGTCGGTATGTTCTGTGATCAGAATTTTTATTATTACCTAAAATTGATAAAATTGCTAATGCCAAGGACCTTGAACATATCTAAAATCGCGTGTACCTTTCCATGGAGCCTAATTAAAAACTTTGACTTATATTAAAAATGTTATGTGAAGAAGATGTTTATCCACCCTTAAGCAGAATATTTATACCCTTCACCACACTGTGGTACAGGGTATTATGTCTATGTGCATATGTTTGTAACAGGCAAAAGGAAACGAGATAGACACGTGGTTCCTTTTGAGAATAGGCATAGAATCACTTTTTAAGTCGATTTATGCATGTCCGTCCGTCTGTCTGCCCATGTTAAATTGTAAACAAAGTACAGCATAGGTCACTTATTTGGCCCAAGGACAAACCCTATTGAAATTGAGAAAAATCGGTTCAGATTTAGATATAGCTCCCATATATATTTTCGTCCGATTTAATGTAAATGGTGTACTAAATTCCCTATATATCGATTTGCACGAAATTTGGCATAGCGTAATGAATTAGGTCTAGAATGATGTGTGTTAAGTTTCCTGAAAATCAGTCCAGATTTAGATATAGCTCCCATATATATTTTCGTCCGATTTAATGTAAATGGTGTACCAAAGTCCGATTTAATGTAAATGATGGACCAAAGTCCCTATAAATCTTTCGAAATGGAATGATCTGTGCTGAATTTCGTGAAAATCGTTTCAGACATTTATATATATATATACATATATATCTATATATATATATATAAAATAGTACATATATATGGGAAATTACAAAATTCTTTTAAAATTCTATTAAAAAATTTTGAAAATTTTTTGCAAGCACATTCATGATTTTTGGTACATATGTTAAGAAAAATATGCTGATTCGAAATGTGTTCGCGTTCACAAATTCGGATGCAAAAACAAAAGTTATAGCGGTTTTAAATCTTGTATTTCAAATATAAATTAAATGAATTTCTATTTGTTGTAATTCGCGAATTTCTTCACAAATGCATACTTGTCAAATCACATTGAAATACCGTACAATATTCGCGAAAAAAAAATTAATAATTTTTTTAATTAAGACATTAAGTGGTTAAGGGAATACGGTTTTGCCTTAATCTTCTAAAATATATGACGCTTTCTTCTGCAAATTCTTTTGCATGCTTGTTAAATATCGGTAGATTCATCTGATAAGAGTTTCGACGTTATAAATGATTAAATATATTGCACTTACAATACATAAAAATGATCAATATTGGAAAGCATGCAATTCGCGTATTTGTGGAAAACAGTTGTTGCGCATGCGGTTTTCGTGTAAATCGAATCAATCTCTTCCAATAATTATGAATTTTACGATGTTTCATTTAGCGGCAAAAGTGTGCCGCTCGATGCACTTTACTATGAAAAAACTCTAAAAATTGCTAAAAATGACGCAACGTGCATACGATTTTTATGCGCATCCGATTTCAGTAATCTCCTCTGAAAATACACAAAAGGACACCTATTTTAAAAGGATCGCTGAAGAACCGCGGATGTGCCTCCACAATCGATTTTGGATAAAATACGTATATTATTCGCGTATCGATATATTTTTGACCTATTTTCACACAGATTCGCGAATATTATAACACAAGCATGAATGTATTTAAAATCAATTCGAAGAAAAACGCGATTATATACGCGAATTTGTCAAAATATGGTTTTGCAGTTTTTCCCACATTCAAGGTACCTATATCCGCCGTTTCATTGGGTGGAATTGAACATGGATGGGCTCATTAGATCCGACACGTAAAAAAACTAAAATCACGCGGGGTTCCACGGAATTTAAATGGACTTTCTTAATTTTAGACTCAAAATATATGTTTTTTATAAAAATTTACGCACCAAATTTTCGTCTTTGGAACCAAATTGCAAAGAAGCTACGGTGAGCACATTCATGAGATATACACTGAACGAAGCAAAATAACGAGTTCTACAATCCTATAATTAGTTTAGTCCATTATCTGGATGCGCATCCTAATTATAAGAAAAATTCAAAAACACCGAAAATCCGGCTTCAAAATGTCAGCATCCATTTTGGGTGGATGCAGTGATTATATCGAAAAATCATACATTAGAACCATATTGTCCATGGGGTATTCTGCAACTTAGTCACGGATCACATGTGCGTGCGTCGTGTATTTTAGCCACAAATCAGGAAGGACCACAAGAAAACTCGTTGGCTTCAACACATTTTCACCCATATTTTTACATTACCACCATCACAGCTTCCACGCAACTTATTATTTATTACCAACATTTTAAGATTTTGACAAGAACACTTCATTTTATAGAAATGAATTTAAATTATATGCAATATGTTCATATTTCGCGAGTTATAACCTTGCAAACCTCAGCTTCAAGGAATTTAAAAGATTTTTGTAATTTCCCATATATAATGGTACCCTGAAACTTTGACCAGTGTTTATAATGCCAAGTTACTGACAATTCGGTTAGAAAACGTGACCAAAATCCTCAAAATATCGAATATTGGAGTTCCGATATATCACATTTACAATAACAAACATCCTAGGAGTAATAGCAATGTCTGTGTAATTTTCAGAGCTCTGTCTTAAATATTGCGAACTCTATCATGATTTAAACAGACGAACAGACAGACGGATATTCGTAAATCGACATAGTACCTTATTCTGACCAAGAATATATACAATTAATATAAACTCCACCTTTTGGTGGAGGGTATAATGACGGGTACCTTTGTATGGGGACTATGTATAAACATGGACTTATATTTAAAAATATTCAGTGAAGAATTTGTTTACCCACCTTTCAGCATACTACAAAATACCAATTTACAGCGAATTCGGTTGAAAACGCACTCAAGAATCAGAAAATTCCGAATATTAGGGGGTAATCTTATATGGGGGCTACCCGAAAAAATTGACCTATATTTATAATTTTTAGTGGAGAGATTTGCAAACTGAGAAGAACCAAAATGTACCAGAAAATTGGACCAATATTTATAATTTTTTGTGGGGAAATTTGGTACCCAATAAAAACGCAGTGGGCGGACTTGTCCTGCCCGCAGACAAAATACTCTATACTAAATTTTGGCGATCTATCTCAATTCGTTTAGGGGCTAGAGTCATTGCAACATACAGACGGACAATTTTACGCTGATCGAGAATATATAGTTTCAATATACCCTCCACACTATGTGGAGGTGGAATACAATCAGTATACAAATTGGATATATTTATCTAAAAATTCGGTACAAAAATTTAGTGTTCATAGATATAAGTTTTTCTAAACTAGGATCAGGGAAAAGTAAATACATATGAATGTTTGTCCTCTTCTATACATGGTCATGAATCTTTTTAAAAAATATTGAATTTACACCTCTGCTTTTATACCTTTCATCACACAGTGGTACAGGGTATTATGTTTTTGTTTATATGTTTGTAACAGCAAAAGGAAACCAGATGACACATGGCACCTTTTAAGAATATGCATAGAATCACTTTCTGAGTCGATTTATGCAAGTCCGTCCGTCCATGTATTTTTGTGAGCAAAGTACTGGTCGCATTTCTGATACGAATTAGCTGAAATTTAGCACATATTTAGAAGCCCTATTGAAGTTGTAGAAAATCGGTTCAGATTTAGATATATCTCCCATATATATTTTCATTCGATTATTCCTAAATGGCGCACCAAACACGCAATATTTGTCTGATCGAGACAAAATTATTCACAGCATATTAAATTAGGTCCAATTTAATATATGTGAAGTTTTGTTGAAATCGGTTCAGAATAATACATTTTCATCCGATTTTACCTAAATGGTGCACACAATATTTGTCCGATCGAGATAAAATTTTGCACAACGTACTTAATTATATCTAGTTTGATGACTTTGAAATTTTGTTGAAACTGGTTCAGATTTAGATATAGCTCCCATATATAGATTCGTCCGATTTTATGTAAATTGAGCACCATACTGCCAACATTTGTTCGATCGAGACAAAATTTTGCACATCATAAAATTGAAAGTGGGATAGAGTGTGTTAAGTTTAATTGAGTTAGGATCAGATATATAGTGCTCAAACTCCCAATTTGTGTCCGATTGTGACGAAATTTGCGTTAAGTTTGATTGAAATCGTATCAGATACAGATATAGCTCCCATATATACCTTCGTCCGATTTTAGGTAAATGGTACATCAAACACACAATATTTGCCCGATCGAGACAAAATTTTGCACAGCATACTGATATAGGTCCAGTTTAATATCTATGAAGTTTTGTTGAAATCGGTCCAGATTTAGATATAGCTCCCGTATCCGATCTTCATCCGATTTTACCTAAATGGTGCACCAAACACACAATATTTGTTTGTCTATACTTTTACAACCCAAAATACCTAATTACAGCCAATTTTAATGGAAGATTAGTCGAACATCCCAAAAATTACCTAGCATTGCTGGTACCTCCCTTCAAATAATATTCACTTATTTATAGCCATATTTGAGTCGAGAGTCTATTTATCGTGCATCTTGAAATTGGCGTATTCAGGAAGTTTTCCGCT